GTGTGGCTTGAGGAGGAGAGTGTGCGTGAAATTTTGGTACTTAGCTTTGTGCCTCTTGGATCGCAAATAATAAGCCAGATGCTGTCACGGGATGGCCCTTGGTCTCCCCACTTGCGTCCATTTGTCTCCTCACTTGTTTCCTCACGCGATTCCTGGCTGGTGTCACGAGATGGTCTGGCTCGGTCACCCCTTTGTCTCCCCGCTTGTTTCAATTTGCTTCGCACTTGTTTCCTCACGCGCTGCTGTGCTGTCACGAGATGGTCTGGCTGTGTCTCTCCACTTGTTTCCAGTTGTCTTTTTGCGCTCTTGCTGGGCTGGATGCTGTCACGGGATGGTATGCCTCGGATAGCTTTTGTCTCCCCACTTTTCCCATTTATCGCCCAGCTTGTTTCCTCACGCGCTTGCTGGGCTGGATGTTGTCACAAGCGGGTTCGCTCACCCACTTGCTTCCATTTGTTTCCTCGCACGCTTGCTGGGCTGGATGCTGTCACGAGATGGTCTGGCTCGGTGGTCTGGCGCTTGCTGGGCCACAAGATAGTGTCACTTGTTTGCCTGGGTCAGGCGTTTGCCTCTCCACTTGTTTCCATCTGTCTCATCACGTGCTTCCCCTGCCCACTTGTTTCCATTTAACTCCTCACGCGATTGCTGGGCTGCATGCCGTCACGAGATGGTCTTGGTCGATTGGCCGTTTGCCTCCCCACTTGTTTCCATTTGCCTCCCTGCTTGTTTCCTGCGCTTGGGCTGGATGCTTACTCCTTTGCCTCCCCGCTTGTTTCCTCACGCGCCTGTATGTCGCACTTGTTTCCATTTGTCTCTCCACTTGTTGCTTTGCGCGCTTGCTGGGCTGGATGCTGTCGCGAGATGACCTGGCTCGGTTGGCTTTTGTCTTCCGACTTGTTTTCCTTTGTCTCCCCAACTATGATTAAGCTGGCGGGCAGAGAAACAGGACCACGCTGATGTGAAAAGAAGCCACGTGGTTGTTACGGAAGTATCGGTGTCCGTTTCCGCCGACCATGGCACAAGTAAGATCAGGTTTGCTGCTGGTTGAGTTGGGTGCTGAAACAACTCCTGATGCGATGGAGTATGGTTCTCACTGTTTGGGTCGATGATGGTGTAGTTTTGGGGGGAACCCCTGTTCTTTGGTTTTTCCTGTCGGCGCACTAGAGTGTTCCTTGTTGGCGCATAAGCGTGTTCACCGTCGGCGCACAAGCGTGTTCCTCGTTGGCGCGTAAGCGTGTTCACTGTCGGCGCACAAGAGTGTTCCTTGCTGGCGCACAAGTGTGTGGCCTGACTGTCGGCGCACAAGCGTAACCATTGTCGGCGCGCACAAATGTCCCCTGTTGGCGCACAAGCGTGTCCACGCACGAAAGGTTCTTTGTTGGCGCATATATACGTGCCCGCCGTCGGCGCACAAGAGTGTTCCTTGTTGGCGCATCATCGTAGCCAGTGCCGGCGCACAAAGTGTTCCCTGTTGGCGCACAAGCGTGTTCACTGTCGCCGCGCAAGAGTGTTCCAAGAGGAAAACAATTTTGGGCAGTCCTTCAAGAAGACACACATGCGTTCTTGGCTTGACCTGCGTAGTGCATCCTTGCGTTCTTACAATCTGTTGCGGTCGACTTTGGTACAATAAAGGGAAGCCAAAAGGAAACCAAAACTCTTCTTGGAAAAACACACACCCACGTTTTTTAAACGCAATTCAAACATTGTGAGCTTCCTCATGGCTGGCTGTGAGGCAGTTGGCTTCATCCTTTTCGTTCGGGCTACTTAATGACACAAGGGAAACGGCCCGGAAAGAACAACGGCAGCGACTCCTGGCTCGATGCATCCGAGGGGCAGAGATGTGTGGTGGCGCAGGGGGAGAAAGACCGTGGCAGGCAAGGTCAACAGGGCACGGATCGGAGTGCCGGGGATTTGAAAACAAGACAGGAGGGTCCAGAGCGAAAGTAGACGGTACAGTTCTTGTTGAAGGGGATGGTTCAACCTGAATGGGGAAGTTACGCAATCTACGCCTGTTGTAGGAACTGGACGAATGTCCACCTCATATTTGGAACCCCTCCCCCTCAACTTTTCAGGATGTTTGAGTACTCTTGTTTTGCGTCTTGTTTTGAGGGTTGGAAGGGATAGAAAGAAAACCAGCCCAAATGAGACACAATCAGAATTTGGGAAGATGAAGAGGACCTAGGTGCGGCAAGAACCGTTTATGATTCCATAGCATGGCTTTCCATTTGTACTCAGATGGCCCGGGGAGAATTTGTAATCGGTTCGAAAACCTCGGTTGGAAACCACTTGCCATGGTCGGAAGTGCCCCAAGTACCAGATAACCCTTAATTGGTGGTTTGGATTGGTGGTTTGGGGATTTGAACCCTGGTTCTTGTGGAGGGTTAGTGGAATGCTTACCCCTTAGCCACCAAACTTCCGGGCTCCAAGCCAGCAACTACGGGGAAGCTGAAAGTAGGCAACAACCTGAGAAATCCAATTTGGAGAACTTTCAGGTCATCCAGGCGCCTTTGGGTTGGAGGGTTGGAGGGGCTTTTGGTCCTTGACTTTTGGCCCGATTCTCCGCATTTTGGTTCAGCGCCCTGCCCCCCACACAGAGGGAATTGTGCATCATCTACTTTTACCAGATTTTGGGGCCAGGTTCCGGGGAGACTCTTTTTGATCTGCAAAAGCGGATTGGAAAAATAAGAATGAGTCTGGCGTCCAAGAACGGATATTTGAGGTGGGGGATGGGATGGAATCGTTTGGTTTTTGCCTTAGAGGCACACCCCACCTGTTCGTTGATTTGCCACCATAGGTCATCTTGCCTGAGTCCAAGAAGAGGTTGGGGTTCGGAAAACGAACAGCCTGCTCGACTTTGAGAAATTGCAGAAATGACTGGGGCCCAAAACCAGGGGATTGAGTTTGGACGGTGGGTTTGAACTTGTGAGTTAAGGTAATCCTGCGGAAAGTGACAAAGTCCTACAGATGGACAAAACCCACTTCGTACCAGTTGGGATGGATGAAGCTCGAAAAAGCACATATGCCGGGATACATGTGCTAACGGTGTCAGTGTAGAATTTTGTCCATCCAGAAGTAGGGATGGAAATCAGCACTCAAGGGTAGCATAAGCGGTATGTCCCGTGGTGAGGCTGTCAGGCACGGCTTGAAAAGGAAACCAACTTGAAAAGGGTCTCAAAGTCAGGCAGCGGGGTTCTTTGCCACTTTGGGACTTTCTTTGACAGTAAAGTAAACGGGGGCCAGTGATGTTGTGCCATATTCGTTTGCCAAGCCGAGAATTCACCCTGCTCACTCTCCAAAGGCTGGCCTTGTCACATTGGCGATTGACCTGTTTGGTTTTGACAAACTCACTGGTATGTGTCAAAATTGAGATGCCCCCCCCCAAAATGGTGTTCCTTTTGGTGTCCCTTGAAGCTGAACCGCACATAGATACATGCATACATGCATGCGTGCGTGCGTGCGTGCGCGCGCACGCGCGCGCGTGCGTGCATGCCTGCGTGAGTGCGTGCCTACATACATACATACGTACGTACGTACTTACATACGTACGTACATACATACATACACAAAATCATACACGTACATACATCTATACATGCATACATTCATACCTACCTACCTACCTACATACATACATACATACATTCATACATACATACGGACATACATACATACATACATACATACGTACGTACGTACATACATGCATACATACACATGCGTATACACATACACATACTCATACACATACACAGAATCATGCACATACATACATACATACATACATACATACAGACATACATACATACATACATACATACATACACACACACACATAGATACATACATACATACATACATACATACATAGATACATACATACATACATACATACATACATACATACATACATACATACATACATACATACATGCATGCATGCATGCATGCATGCATACATACATACATACATACATACATACATACATACATACATACATACATACATACATACATACATACATACATACATACATGTACACACATGTACACACATGTACACACATACCAACATACCAACTCACACCCACGCGCACAGACAGATATATCCACACACACTAATGCACGCATACATGCATACACATGGACACGTTGTAGAATCATAGTATATGTATATAGAGGTATATGCACGTTTCAGAACAGCCTGGAACATCTCGAGCATGTTGTGTTTGCCGCCAACAATGCAAGGCACATTTGGGTCACAGGGGGGTTTGCTGCTAAGGACAGCAGATGGACACCTTTGCAAGGTGCAATACTATGTGTATAATATCCTTTCATGTATTGTCACAACTGTATGTATACACGTAGCATGATAGACATAGCAAAATACATACATACGCATGTGTGTGTGTGTGTGACCCCTAAGACCTGTTCATTGCGTTTCCTCGGGGGAATCTGCGGAAATTGCACGGCTCCAGGTGGATTTGCGAGCCGTGGAGCTATCACCTTTCTGCGAACTTCTCCTCCCTTCTCCACGGCCATGAAGGCAATCTGTGTGTCGGGTCGGGGTTTCCGCTTGTCAGGTTGGTTCAAAGGGAAGCCAAAAGAAGAACCACCATGTTTGGGGGCCCCCTGTGTGGACATATATCAAAATAGTAACTTGTAGTGGTAGGCAAACACAAATAGCAGAAAATGAGCATATTGTTTTTGGCGTACGCCACAGTTGGGCCAAGGTAAGTCTCTAATATGCTTGTACTAACCCCAGTTGGATGGGATATACAATCACTAGCCACTGTACAAAGGCTAAATACCCTGTTTTCTGCTTGGGGTAGCTTTGGTTTGGGCGGTGGACACTATCTTAGAAACTTGTGGAAGGGGTTGTACCTCGCTGCTAAAAGGTTCTCTAAATCAGCTGAAGGTGACTTTTTAGCTGGCCGTATCCTTTCAGGGATTTTGCAGCTTGGTTGGGACCTCAGAGGATCAGTGCCATCGTGGCAAGGGCTATGGGGGGGCTATTGGACAACCCTTGGATGTTCAAGTCACTTAGTAGCTGGGCTACTTCACCATGTTTATAAATCAGGTGGCTACTCCACCCCGATTACAAGATAGCTAACCAGGTTACAGCCACGGCAACTTACTTTCTAAGTTGGTTGGACTCCCCAGTAGGATAAGCCAAAGATACTCTGCTGAGAAAGCCTGTGCGGTGTTTTGTGGTGATAGTGTAAGAGTCGCTCTTCGGGTCAAGTTCGCGTTGGAGCTTTTTTTTGCGGGGTGATGCGAACGATTGTCCAGGAAGCTTGTCCACATGATTGTGCGTTATCATCACCTTGTTATTGAGTCCAAAAGGAGGCTGGTCGGTATAATTCATGGCTGCAGCCTTTTTGATAACCTGGACTCATCACTGAACTGATGAGTCCAAAGATGAACCTGTGATATTTGCAGCCCTTTCAATTCTGGCTAGGGTAACCCAGTCTTTGCGGGGTTTCCTAGGCCCCAACCAAACGGGGGTTCTTGGGAGTGGCCTTGTGTGCACAAGAAGCTATTTGGCCCCAATCCCTAAAAACCTAAAACCCTAAAGAAGGAGGTAGCACAGCAGACTCGTGTCCACCATATGGGGTGGGGGAACAGTAGGGGCCAACAGTTGGCAAGCTGTGGTTTCCCGCAAGTCACGCCCGGTCCCATACAGGTTCCATGAGCCATGATTTTCTGGTCATGGCTGGAATGGCTCCCCTTTGCAAGTGGGCCTTGAATCAGATGATTCAAGGCCCACTTGCGAGTGTCTCTAGGGGAAACGATGGGTTTTCATTTTGGCTTCCCTTCAAATCCACGAGCAAAAACCGGATGACCCTCGCTCAGAACGGCGACACGTCCATCAGAGCATCGCCAGGTTTCGGCGATGGGCTTGGGGCCTCCAACGTGGCGGTGTGCGTCGGCGCCTGAGATGGGCGCTGCTAGCGCTCCGATGCGGCGCTGGGAGGAGCTTGCTCCGGACCTCACCATTTGACTTTCAGCCACGCAGTTGGCGGGGTACCACCTCCAAAGTGGACATGAACCCATTTGGCAGGGAACCAGCTCCAAAGTGGACATGAACTTTCACCTGACTGACGTCCAAAGGTGGGAACTTCCCTCTTTCCAGGGCCGATGGGCAGGTCCTGGGCGCGCCCCGCACGGTGGTGAAGACCTATCCCTCCATCCGGGACAAGGCGCGCGTTGGCCGTGGAGTTGTCCTGTGTAGCTGAGGGTCTCTGAAGTTGTCCGTTTTCCTTGAAACCAAGCTGAAAAGGGTACCCCCTCAAGCTTCTCGACCACTGCCCGAGAACATGACACCAACTCTCTGCAGGTGGTGATGGCGTTGAACGGGGATGCCTTCATCTACGTTGCGCCGGCCGGTGTTGGGCCCTCCGCCATTTGATGTTCCATTTTGGTCGATTGAATCGCTCAATGGTTAGTCGCTCTGGTTGTGGCGACTTAGGAGACTTGCAACCATGGTAGGTGCGGGCCCATGGCAAGTGGTTTGTGTTTTTTGAGGGAGGGCCCCTAAAATTAGTGGCTTTCCTTTTGCTTTACCTTTACAACAACCCCAAGAGACGAGCCTCAACAAGACACCTCAGTTCTACCTGGCGCAGTGCGGATCATGATACCTACGGAAGCCTTTGGCCTGATTCTGCTACCGATACTACCTGGTGTTCTCGCTACTGTGGATGGGCGAAATCCACGCCTCGCGCCAGTTTGGTTCATCCCCAACATTCACATCTGGCTTTATTCATCCCAATCGGTGCAGCATCTCGTCCATCCACAGTACTACCTAGGTGTTTTTACCACAAAGGTACAGCTTAGTGGGAGTCAGTTCCAACCCTAGATATCTCCGGACATCCATCCTGATGCTGTAGCTGGGTGATTAGGGGTTCTACCCGGTGTAATATGGATCATAGTGATGCCTACACACTCCTTTGCAAGAATCATGGTAAAATCCCACTGGGTTTTGGGGCGCTCAAGTAGGTGCCCATGATGCCTTCTTGTTGGACCCAGACGCCCACTTTTTTGACGGGGCCCTTTCACGGGTTCTTGGGCAAAGGGTCCATGATTTTGTACCCTCCCAGCACACTGAAGGAGCCTGATTCCGAGGGTCCCTGCAGGAAAATAGTCTCGCCTGGTTGCATGCTTGGAATTTTGGGAGGGTATGGTACAACGAATCAAAGCCACATTCCCTTTTCAGACCAAAAAGGGGTTGCTAAAAGAGCTTGAAGGTGATGCAGCCAAAAGAGTTTATCAGATTCGTGAAGAGTTTCCCGTGGTTTGCTTTGGGTTTCCTTTGGTTCTTTGCTTCCTTATTTTCCTTTCCAAGGTTACCACAGTCAGAAGATAATATCATAACAAGCCTTAGGGAAGCTCGATGCGGAGCCCGAGAATGAGGCGCCATGTTCAGCATTACCAACTAAATCCAAGAACCCCAGGCAAATGGAGAACATGATCTGTGGCCTCAAGGGTCAACATGGCTTGGTG